GGTCAGCACGTTTCTTCTTGGCTGTCGAGCAATTTGGAGTGAGAGGGGAAGAATCTAGTTTTGTGGTCCACGTAGTCACCAATGACCTAGATAAGAATTGGGAAAGAGATTCTACTGAGGGGCTACAATTAATTTTTAATTCTTGTCAGTCATCCCCTCCGTTCCATTGGCTTTAATTTTACACTCAAGGCTGTTATGTGGAAATTTATGAAGAGCCTTCTTGAAATCCAAATCCATTTGTTCTCCTTAACTATTCTACTAACTTACATCCTCAAAATACTCCAGTAGACAAGCACAATTTTGCTTCAAATGCTTCCACTTGAACCCATGTCAACTTCATCTAATCTTGGGATTCTAAGTTGAAATAAAGACATAAGAAATTCACAGGTGCATGTGGATGCATTTGGTTAATGGGGCCACATTTGGCAGATGGAGTTTAATGTGGATAGGTGTGATGTTATCCATTTTGGTCAGATGAATAGAAAGGCAGCTTATTATCTAAATGGAGAGAAACTTTAGAGTGCTTTGATACAGAGGGATCTGGATGTCCTTGTGCATGATTCACAGAAAATTTGTATGCAGGTACAGTAGAAAATAAATAACACAAATTGAATTTTGGCATTTATTGCTAAGGAATAGAGTATTAAAGTAGGAAAGCGTTGCTGCAATTGTATAAGATATTAGTGAGACTGTACCTGGAGTATTGCATAACAGTTTTGGTCCCTCTCCTTGAGGGATGGAGTTGCATTTGAAGCAGTTCAAAGACAAATCACTGTATAGATTTAGAGGTGAGAATTTGTCTTGCAAAGAGATCGGGCATTTTAGGCCTAGCCTCTTAGAGTTTAAAAGAATGAGAGGAGACCTAATTGAAGTTTATAAGAAGCTAAAAGTGGTTGATCAAATAAACAGAGGATGTTACCTCTTGTTGGGGTTTAGTTTTGGGATTAGAGAGCAGTTTTTAAAACAGATGAAGGGAAATTACTCCCCTCTGAATCATGAATCTGTGAAATTCACTACAGCAGGATGTGATGGAGGCTGGGACTTTGAATGAATTTAATTAGGAGAATTTTAGGTTGTTGACTTGCTCGCCGAGCTGGCTTGTTTTTGTTCTGACATTTCGTCACCATGCTAGGTGACATCATCAGTGGAGACTCTGATGAAGTGATGTTATTCTACTCCACTTGGAATTTCTACTGTCTGGCCCATTATGGTGAGTGCTGTCATTTCCACTTTTGATCTGTATGGGGTTGCACATGGGGTCCAATTCTATGTATTTCTTAATTGAAGTATGGGTGGTTCTAGGAATTCCTGTGTGTGTCTATTTGGCTTGGGCTACTATGGTTACTTTGTCCCAGTTAAACTGATGGCCTTCGTTATCTGAATGTACAGATATTAAAGAGAGGTCATTGTGCCGTTTTTGCTGCAAGCTGATGTTTGTGTATTCTGATGGCTAGTTTCCTTCCTGTCTGTCTGATATAATGTTTGTGGCAGTCGTTACATGGTACTTCGTAAACCACGTTTGTTCTGCATGTTGTGGGAATGGGGTCTTCAATCCTTGAGTGTTTGTCATAGACTGGCTATGGGCTTGTGGGCTACCATGATTCCTAGTGGTCTTGTCAGTTCCAATATGTTCCTGATGTAGGGAAGTGTGGTAAGTGTATTAGGGTGTACTGTGTCCTCCTGTTGTCTGTTATGTAGGCATCTGTGGACGAAGTTGCAGGGATATCCGTTTTTAAGGCGAGGATCTTGATGAAGAACACTTTTATACTTCCCAGTGTAATTCTGGAGTGTTGCAGTGTGTGCTGGCCCATTTAAGTAGTATCCTAATGCAGCTTTGTTTGTGGGCGTTGGGGTGCTTGTTGTGGAAGTTGAGGATTTGATCTGTCTGGGTTGCTTTTCAGTGTACTGAGGTTTGGAACTCCCCATTTTGTCAGTCGTTCTACTTAACATCCAGAAACAGAAGTTGATTATTGGTTTCTTATTCCCTTGTGAATTTAATCCCTGTGAATATGCTGTTGATGAGGTGGTGGGTCTGTTTTAATTTGTTGCGTTTAATAATGACAAATGTGTCGTCTACGTACCGGATCCACACTTTAGGTTGAATGTCGGGGAAGGTGGTGATGTTCTAGTCGTTGCATGACTACTTCTGCAATGAGCCCTGAGATGGGTGACCCCATTGGTGTACCGTTGATCTGTTTGTGTATTTGACCATTAAAGACGAAGTGTGTGGTGAGGCAGAGGTCTAGCAATTTAAGTATGTTGTCCTTGCTGATGGAGTTACTGGTCTGTGTTGCTGTTTCCTCTAGTAATGTGGCCACTGTTTCTTTGGCTAGTGGGATGTCAATTGATGTGAATAAAGCTTTGACGTCAAGCGACACTTCTTTAGAACAGATCCTTCAGCAGTTAACTCTGCTTTCTCTCCAACTAAGGAACATGGCTACAGAATAAGGGGGCACTCATTTAAAACTGAGATACAAAGGATATTTTTTCCAGGGGTTTGAATGCCTGAAATTTTCTACACCAAAGACTTATGGAGGCTAGATCACAAAGTATTTAAAGAGGAGGTAGGTGGACTTCTGAAATATCAGGGAGTTGGCAGCTATGCTAAGCTGCCACAAAAGAAGAACCTTGGCAGATCTCCCATGATATTGCTGAATGGTGGGACAGGCATAAGGAACCAAATGGCCTATTTCTGCTTCTACTTCCTCTATGTACTTATGTCATCGTCGCAATGCCTCTAAAATGCCCTGCTTTTTTTTTTCAAAGGTGAAGAGTAAGGACCAGGAACCCACTCCTCTCCAGGTGTCCATTAAAGCTCTTGAGAAGCTTGTTCAAGGGTCAGAAGGCAAATCCAAACCGCCTGTACCTGTCAGGTGAAATACAGGGACCGTAAAGTCATGTTATGAAAACTTTTTAGGGCAAAAAGAGCAGACAAATTACCTTTTGTGTTGGCATTTTGGTCACTTTTTTGGGACATGAGTCTGTTGGCCTTTTGATGTCTTATCCTTTGTATTTTGCAAAGCAGCAGCAAATCCCTCATGGTAGCTGTCTGCTTTTCAGGACTCGGCTCTCAAACCTTGGCAATGGTCAGCACCACTAAATGAGTGCCATGCTTTCTTCAGCCCAATTAGTTTATCTGCATTTGAAGAAATGGAGACATCTGTGACAGGCTGTTACAAACTGCTGAAGTTGCTGTTGCCCCCATTGTTCTGCCAGTTTTAATCTTTTGTTCAGTGAATGTCAGCTGTAGTTCAGCTTGTAAGACACTTGGGCTTGAACATGGAGATTCATGTACAGCTCCTTGGACACAAAGATCAAGACCAGGGAATGCGCTCCTTTGGAAATGCTGACTTTCAAATGAGCTATTTAAACCCCTCCAAGTCTCCACTTGACTGCTAAGGTGAATGTAAAATAGCCTATGGTATGCTTTTGAAAAGTAGGGAAGTTATCCCTGGTGTCCTGGCCAACATTTATCCCTTAATCAACATCACAAAAAACAAATTATCTGGTCATTGTTATTTTGTTGCTGTATGTGGAAGTTTGCTGAGGGCAAATTGACTGCATGTTTCCTACATTGCTCCTTGAATTAATCCCTGTTGTATCAGCAGTGGTGGGCTTGGTTCCTTCCTGGAGTGTCTTCGGGGGCGAGTGGTCTCCTTCCTGGAACGTTGACAGCAGCATGAGTGGTCCCCTTCTCAGCAATGGCGGGAGATGTTCCTTCCCAGTTTGTCAGCAATGGCGAGTACCTTTTTGCTGAAATGGTGGTCCCAGGAGTTGGTAGCAACGTAAGCCAAGAAATGCAGCGGCTGCTTCAGCGTGGTGGGGTCCAGCGTCTAGTTTGGGCCCAGTTCAGGACCAGGCTGCTTTAGCAACAGCGGCTTTGCCAAGATCAGCCCAGCATGGTGTCATGGTGGTGATGATGACATTGGTGGAGGCATCAAAAAATGGCAACACTGTTGCAGCAGTGGCAGTGTGACTCCAGGACATGGCTGGGCCCAGGTGCTTGCTGGAGGTGGTAGCATTCAGGCTGTGGCAGTGTGCAGAGACTAGTGACACCTGAGTTTGTAAACTGAAAGATGGCTTTGTTTTTCTGGCGGCAAGGACTCTCAGCAGGGGTAGGCAGTAATCAAGACGTTTCTTTTTCTTTTTTTTCTTCTGTTTGTTTGTTATCCTGACTTTTATATACTGAGACGGTGCCGGAGAATGGCAACTTTTATACACTTTTTTTCACTGCACTCCTGTATTCCCGTACTTGAGTACACGTGACAATAGCTAAATCGAATTGAGCTTCAAACGCACTTCACTGGCTCCAGAGTACTTTGAAATTCCCTATGAATGTGAAAAGTGGTGTATAAATGCAAGATTCAGAATACTATTTTGTTTCATGTTAGATCAAATAAAGATGATTATTGAACTAGAAGGCACTCAGATAAATTTATTCCATATCTTGAGTATGAATGATGTAAATTGTAAAACATGCAGGGCATGACTTTGCAATTTTGTTCTTTGACTCTAAGAATCCAAATTGAAACATCTGATTGTCCAGGTATTTTTAAACATTCTATCAATGATTAAATAATTAATCAAAACTAAACGTGTATAGGTTAAACAGCACAAAACGGTTCAGAATTGTATTTCCTGGTCACCATTTCCTGACAGCTAAAATGAGTCTGAATCCATTGAATATTTAATGTCATTGTTTGAAATCTTTTATACCTGTTCATTTACTACAATGTGCAATTTCCTGTGGTAAGTATGATATCAAATTGATGCTGTTTAATTAATTAATTCTTAATTTCTTCAAGATTTGTGGAGATTTTGTTTTTCTTTTTCTGCAGTGTGCTGTTTTGAAGACATTTAAGTATTTTTTTTAACAATTTTGAGCTGTTAAAGGTATGGAAATATTTATACAAGAGAATTAGATTACTGTTTTTATTCAACTGATCATTAAGGTTCTTAAGTATTTCTAGAATTGTGGCAAACCTAATGGAACCAAACCAAATTGCCAATAAATGGACGTTATCACAAGCAGTGAACGGGGGTACACGGTCTATCTCTCAACCAGCAGTGATTCTGAGAATCTCTGTGTAACCGGAACTGAATTACAATCTTTTGGAGGAAAAATGAGGAGACAGCTGTTATTGAGGCACTGACCACCTCACCCGTCCAACTCCTGCTGTGAATCTGGAATTTATGAAGGCCACATTATGTTAAGGCAGCAGATATATGGGAACACCACTTTCAAGTCGGTCACCATCCTGACTGCTCACCAGTCTGAGCCAGAATGTGTAATGAAAGCTTTTGTCAGAAGGGAGCCTCCTATATTTCCTTGGTGTCAGTTTGAGCACTGGTGCAGTTCGTGACTCTGTCTTGCCTGAATCAGAAGGTTCAAGACTCTGGCCAGAGCCTTGAGCACAAAAATTGATTATAGCTTGAAGGACAAGGAACAATATGCCTGAAGCCCACGAGTTAGAGGAGAAAGTATCTAAATTGTGCATTTTGGGCCCTTGTGCTTTGGTGGTAGTGTCCCTATCTCCATGCTAGGAGGCCTGTATTCAAGTTCCACCCACTCCAGAAGTGCATGAAAGCAACTCTAAATAGGTTGATTAGAAAATATGTATACTTCTTTTGGTGGTCAAGCTCTATATACAATGTTAATTTTAAAATATGTCTGTATATAATTTCAAACTATATATTTTATCAGTTGGCAGGAGAGACGAGAGACAGTGGAAGGTATTGGTACAGTGGTATTGTCACTGGACTAGTAAACCAGAGACCCAGGGAATTCTCTGATGTCATGGGTTTGAATCCCACCATGGCAGGTGGTGAAATTTGAGTGTAACTAATTTTTTAAAGTGCTGTCTGAAATGGGCTAGCAAGCCAGACACTTGAGTATGTAACCATTACAAAATTTGAATTTAAAAAAAATCAGTTGGATAATTTGGCCTCCAAGTAAGTTACCAGAAACAATGCATTAAAAAAAAAACCCACAAGAACTGCAGATACTGTAAATCAGGAACAGGAACAAAAAGTTGTTGGAAAAGCCCAGCAGGTCTGGCAGCATCTGTGGAGGAAAAAAACAGAGTTAACGTTTCACGTCTGGTGACCCTTCCTCAGAACAGGCAAATATAACCTTGGTGATCCTGAAAAATTCTCCTTACAAACATTCAAGGCAAAATAGAAATGAGTCAAATAACAGCCTGACCTATTTATTCTCTCAGAATACTATACAGACAACGCCCTAGACATTATCATCACCATTTTTGGCTATGTCCTGTCCAATTTACCAGGGATGGCCGCACAGTAATGTACAATGGGGCTGGGTGTTTCCAAGGGAGTCCTCTTTAACATCTGGTCTAGATCCAATGAAGTGTCAGGGGATCAGATGAAACACGGATAATGAAACTTTCTGCAAATTAAGTAGCCACAGCGATGCAGCTCTTAGAAAATTGAACAAAAGAACATTTTGAGTAGAAGATGAAATGCTACAAGTAGAAAACCAGGTAGTGGGATTAGTTTGGATTTCCTTAACAAAGAGCTGCACAGAATGGATGGATAACCATGTTTTTTTTCAGTAAACATTGATTATACCCCATTAAAAAGGCCATTTTTTTTTTCTGACTACACAGCTATTTAATTTTCTACCATAATTTAAATGTAATTGATTTTTGATAATACCATCCCTAAATATTTTGATACTTTTTCCTAATAAAACATATAAACCAACTAACTGAGTTAACATAACAAGGTGTAGAGCTGGATGAACGCAGTAGGCCAGGCAGCATCAGAGGAGCAGGAAAGCTAACATTTCGGGTCTGGACCCTTCTTCAGGGTCTGCTCCTCTGCTGCCTGGCCTGCTGTGTTCATCCAGCTCCCCACCTTGTTATCTCAGACTCTAGCATCAGCAGTTCCTACTCTCTCTAACTGAGCTAACAGTCCCCTTTGCAGGTATGAAAAGCCTTGTGTGAGTCTACAAAGCTGAAGTCTTGATTGAGCATGAGTGAAGATCCAATGAACCCATATTAGAATTGATCAGGCTTCTTGTTATGTTACTGCTTTTCCTTAATTCCACCTCTCAATGCAACAGAGGGCCATTTGGCAATGTGGCTATACAGTAGACAAAAATTGCCTGATTAAGTCCCTAATTGGCTATCCAACATCCAGGGAAAGCACACCGGGTCAATTGCATTCTCTTTCTCACCACCTTTCCCACACCCCGCCCAACCACCTCCCATTAACCTCTTCTCTGCAGGGCTCCGAAAGACCAGTACATATCATGAGCCAGACAAAACAAAATGCCCTGAGAGAAGTTTTACAAGTAAATAAAAATCTGTGATAAATGAGGTTTGAAGCTTGACTTAGTCATTGCTGTGTAATGGCAGTATGTCAATACACTCTCAAGACATTTTCATGGTATCATACTGAATCACATCATGCGAACAGAGGTTGTAAAGATATCACTCACTGTCTTATCCCAAGATCATTTGAAGCATGACATGCCACTAGAATCGTGCCGCTGAATGGCCCTTTGTTGTAACATTAACTGATGTTAGCCCAGACATTTCAGTGTTTCAGCAATGAAATAATAGCTGCAATAACTAGCTGGTGGAGACTTCAAGAGCACAATATCCAGGCAAAGATTCTTGCTATAGGAAATACCATTAAGCATTGCTACATCAGATAATGTAACCTTCTATCACATGACACCAGGTTTTAAATAAACCACAAGCTTTCGGAGCACTGCTCCTTTGTCAGGTGAAAGCTTGTGATTTTAAGTAAACCTGTTGTTATATAACCTGGTGTCATGTGACTTCTGACTTTGTCCACCCCAGTCCAACATCAGCATCTTCACCTCAAGGATACGCTGCTATAG